GTGGGGAAAAAAGTAAAAAAAAATATCCCCCTTGGGCGGTTCCCCGGGAAAAAGAAGTCTAAAAAAAGAATTATTTTTTTTTTTAAAACCTTGAAAAACACCCCCTTAAAATGTATTAAAAACATGAAAGGAGAAAAGGGGGGGGGGGGGGGGGGGGGGGGGGGGGGGGCGCTCACGGGCACCCCAGGAGCCCTCCCTAGCTACGCCCCTGACGTAGATTTAAATTCCAAACCTTAGGAGCCGTTCTCCGAAGCTGTTGTAGTATTTTCTTTCAGTATAGCTCTGGCCCTGGGGAAGGCTTATTTTGTTAGCCGAAATATTGCCCTCAAATAAATCAGCCCTTTGCCGTATTACCAGCCTGCTTTCAGTTTTGTTTTAATGTACAACGTACATGACTCATGACTGAGAAGTGAAGGCAAAGTACCGTATTTATTCGAATAAGCGCCCAACCTCGAATTAGCGCCCACCTCGAATAAGTGCCCATGGCTAAAGGCAGAAAAAATTAATAAGCGCCCAGCCTCGAATAAGCGCCCACCCGCCCCCCCTTCCACTCAAACTCAAATAAGCGCCCACAACCAAAACCCACCCCCTTTCCCCCTTTCACCCAACAAAAATGAATAAGTACTAATAAGAGACTTTCCCGAAGACGGAATTTTCCTCAGAGTATTTTACAGAAACTTGCTTTGTTACATCTTCGCGTTTTGTTATTACCTTTTTTTTGATTTGTTACAAAATAAACATACTACACTTGCTGAAAATAGTGTAAATTTAATAAGCGTCCACCTCGAATAAGCGCCCACTCTCAAGGTCCAAAAATTTAATAAGCGCTCAGGGCGGTTAATCGAATAAATACGGTACTCTGTTTTACAAAAAATGGACTAGTCGGGGAGTCCAGGATTGACCGAGCCGAGAACGCTGAGAGACTATTGTAGGTTGAGGACTAGTAATTTTGTGACTTCTTGTACTTCTATTTTCGAGAAGTGTGAAAGCATATGTAGGTTTCAAAACGTTCTTCTTGTATCTGTTAAGTTTTTCCCGTCTTTTTGCCCGCGCGGGACTGGTAGAAGAACTACGTCATTTATATGTCGTTGTAATATTATGGTCTGGGGCATGTGCTCGCTCGAAAATCTTGCGGTAAAGTTCTAGTCGAGTTCTGTTCGTTCACACGGACGAAAGTCTTTCCACGTTTCCTTCGAGCCTTCAAATCCTGTAAGTATGTTGTCGCTAAGTATTTTCATCTTTCTTCCTTTTATTCACACTCGTTTTGTTTTTCGTAGTCTAACCAGATCCTTGTAACGAATCTTTGGTCCGAATCTCCTTGGAATAAATTCATATGAACATTTAAGTCTACATTTGCGTTAGAAGGATACGCTGGTTTCGCTGTGGATCGTCTTGGATTTTCGTCGATTGTGCCATGGATTTATCCGTTCTTTGATTGATTGGTGTTATCGATAATTTGTTTCTTCGCTTGTGGATCGATTGTAGAGTAAGATGGACTTACGTGGGTTGAAAACCAAAACTGTCGACGTCGATGGAGCCGTTCACGAGAGAATTCTTCGCTTAAAGCGTAGTAGGTCCGGTTCAAAGGCGGCCGTCACCAGAAGACAGCGCGAATTACTTGAGCTAATGAAGAGCTCTGACAATGTTGATCAGGTTAGAGCGAAGTTT